GAGAAACTAGAGGTATGACTGAGAAAAATGCAAAACTGAGTGGGAGAGAGAGAAGTAGTAACAGGGGCAACAGAACACTGAGAGAGTGAGAAACTAGAGGTATGACTGAGAAAAATGCAAAACTGAGTGGGAGAGAGAGAAGTAGTAACAGGGGCAACAGAACACTGAGAGAGTGAGAAACTAGAGGTATGACTGAGAAAAATGCAAAACTGAGTGGGAGAGAGAGAAGTAGTAACAGGGGCAACAGAACACTGAGAGGTCAGCTGGGGCAACAGAACACTTGAGTGGGAGAGTGACAAAGACACTGTCAGGTTGGCTGGAGAGCTGAGATAAAACAAGCTGTTAACCTACGTAGGGGGAGCCATCGAGCGTCTCCGTGTTGACGACCACTGGAGGGGAATTGGCCTGGAGAGAGAGAAAGATGGGGGGGGCGGGAGATATATTCTGAATGACAGCTTCAGAGAGAGGGGACCAGATCATTTTGGAGTCACGAACCTGTGGTTTCGGAAATACTGCCAGAACTGACCCCATGATGTATAAATGTTCCAGTGCATTATGGGAAATGTTTTCATTATGATGATGACACACGCAGACATGCACATGGTACATATGTCAAAAATGCCCCAGCCCTTAATGATCCAGCCTTGTCAGGAAACACAGAGTCAATAAGATTCAGTCACGAAATACTGCAGCTCATGAGGCACAGCCTGCATTCTCTGCCGTCCAGTGCAGTTTCCACGGCCACCGACATCGCGGGGCGCGGAACCATAAACCGCGTGCAGTGAGGGTCTCGGATCGGGGCGGCCAGTGGAATCATGCCACACAGAGACTTGGCAGGGGATCGTGGGTCTTTTAAAAAATAAACCTTTTCAAGGACAGTAGAGGAGGGGGCGGGGAAAGGTGTTGGACGGCACTCACACAATGCAAATGCAATCACTTAGAAAAGCAGATGACATTAAACACTGGATCAGTGGCTCAAGGATAAAAGGAGGACAGGAGGTGGCCGAGGGTCTTGGGGCTGGTGTCAGCTGGGTCACTTGGATATAGCAAGGCAGAACACACCAACGTGTGACACTCACTGAAAACCACAGGCCACCGGAACCAATCAGCACAGACAATCTTAGTCACATGGCCTGGACGAGCTCCTCCCCTCAGGATTCAACACCCTAAATCAGGGTTATTCAACTCACGGTCCTCGAGGTCCGAGCACTGCTGGTTTTCCAGCCTTCCTTTACCTGTCAGTCAGGTGTGAAGTCTCTGACCAATCAGAATCAGTAATTATTAAACAACTACCTGGGAGAACTGAAAACACGGCCTGGATTTGGAATCGAGGTCCAGAGTTGAAGAACCCTAACCCTAAATAAACAGTTCCTGCTTAGTTGATGTGCAGTATGGAGTGCAGGCCTGACTTAAAGCTTAAAGATGCTTCCGGTCTCCAACTCACAAAGGGCACAAAACTCTCACTTCCCTCTGCAACCAAACTTCTGCATGTTTTTTTGCAAGCAGCACCTTCTCAAAGCAATGTGGCTCCTCTCAGACACCCCCCCCCCCATCTGAATCCCACACGCTAGCGACATTACAAAGGAAGATGGCATCCATCTGTATCCATGAGCCTCCTGCTACACTTATTCACGTTTAGTACCCTTTCTGCCATTGGCAGAGGTAACAGAGTGTTCCCCTCCAAGGATTTTAATTGGCTAATGGGTTCAGCCCTTTCTCCACAGCGCCTCCTGCTGGCCATCGCCTGTCAATAAGCCCCAGTTTGGTGGCTGTCACTGGAGCCTCCCGACTAACACATTTCACCGCCCTGCTGCCTGTTGTTTTTTATTCTTTGTGTCTTATTCCTGACAAAATAAAGTACAACAACCTACCTCAACTCTTCCAGCAGACAATACAAGCATAAACATCATCAGGTGTCCTCACATAGCCAGGTGTGTGTTTTGTGTTGTTTACAGGTCTGTGTCACCTGGGCAGGTCTGTGTCACCTGGTCAGGTCTGTGTCACCTGGTCAGTTTGTGTTGCTTATAAATCAGCAGTTGCAGCGCGAAGGATGCTCAGCTATGCAAATCAAATTAAACATGAGGAACAGAATACGGCATTCCTAAAAAAGAGACGCAACCTAATTATCACCTTTAAAAAGTTTCCCACTAGGAGAAATTCAATAAGCTCCTCAGCATAAAAAATGTGAAAAACGCCAAGCTGTCAAGAGAACTTCGCTTTATAAAGTCTTAGGTTACAGAGAATAGAAAAGGCAGAAATTCGGAACAGGATGAAGTATCTTTGCTGTTTTGTCGGTGAGGCCTCATTATCTATCACTGTTTGGCACAATCCAGAACAACCCCCCCCCCCCCCCCCCAAAAAAGAGGCAGTCAAACAGATCAGGCACACAGCCCTGGACCAGCTCCAGCCTAGTTATGTAATCGGCTTCCTCCCCACACACACAAACGCACACGCCTGTGGTGTCCTTCCAGGACACAGGGACGGTGGCCGGGGGGGTGGGGGGCAGAGGTCGTCCCCTGCTGGCACTGCAGTGTCACGGCGACTGGCACAGGCTCACAGAGAGAGAGCGTGTCTTTCTATGTGTAGGGGGGGGGGGGGGGGAGATCTATCCACCTCCACTCATGGTCCGTCGGCTGCTTCTTCGATTCCCTCCTCATTTTAACCCCCCCCCCCTCCACCCTCATCACTACATAGACTGAACCGCACCCAAGCTGAACACCAGCATCGACTGCGTAAGAAACGCTGCCCCCGGCCTTCAGAGCTCTGGTTCCGGGTGGGTGTGTCACCCCCCCCCCTCCTTTGATTAGGGGTTAGGAAGCACTTTGTGTAAAATCAAGCCAACTCCCCCAGTACTACAAGCCAAGGGCACACCCTGCCCCCGGCGTTGGAAGGAGCTTGTTCCTAGCTGACCCTTACGTAACTTTACATTTCTCAACTTATAAAAGACCTCGTATTTATTTATTTTTTTAAGACTGCGGTGCGATCCGTTGTTCCCCCCCCCCCCCCGCCCCCCTCGCTACATTCTACTCCCCTGACTGCTCGTTGCCATGACTACTCCATAGCAACAGCTGCTCGGTTCTCAGGGGAACCTGTTTCCATGGCAACCAGGACTTCCATAGTGATTGTCAAAACCCTACATCATACGATACAACATCACAGAGAAGGACATTATCCAAATGGTTTATTACTGATACATACATTACATAACCCACTGCCGTACACTATCCATAGAATGGGACCAAACGTTGACACATTTTATGAGTCATCCTCGGTTTCCAGGTGAACCCTTAATGTCTGTCTGGAAGATTCTATGTGTTAATCTTCTGCCGTACTGTGCCGACATCGCCGTACTGCGCCTAGTCGCCGGCAAGGAGGTGAACTGACGTCACCGTCACTGCCATGGGCCCCTGCCCGTACCACGCGTGGTGGGAGTGCCGGAGATGGTGGGAGCGGGATAGAGGAGGGGAACGCGGGTGGAGGAGGGGGG